TTTGCACCTCAATATAGCATTTTACTAAGAGAGAACTGTAATGATACTTCATGTGAAAGTTGCAGGGCGTGTGTGATCCGACCGTGTATTCAAAGCAGCTTCTGACCTTACCCGACCTCAGCTGTGCTGGTGGAGATCTGCGTGGAGCATCTACCACCTCTGGCTGCATTTCTAGAGCAGAGTTATAGCCAGCTGCTTTTGCAAATGCATTGCTTCTGCACCTGGTTAAAAAAAAAAAAAAAAAGCCTATCAGCTATTTCTTCAAAAAATATTTCCTACGTCTGCAGTTCAGAAACGCAGCTTTACTTTGGCAGGAGATGGCTTCCCTACCACCCAAGCACTACCCAAATGTGCCAACTTACAAGGCTTCAGAAGGACTTGCTCAGCAGTATCTCCTTCAGGAGCTTGCTGCAGGCATGAACCAGAGTTGCACAGCAAAGGGGCTGTTGCATGAGGAAGTGATATTTTCATGGCAGTGGGAACTGGCAGACACACAGTCAGTAGGGTAGGAAATAGCAAAACATTTTGGAGCCAAGCCAGCACACCACGAGGCTGAAAGAGTCCCACTCTCCTCACCACTGAATCCCTCTAGAAAGTCAGTAAATTGCTTAACCTGTGGAGTCACCATCCCTGGAAGTGTTCAAAAAACGGGTAGATGTGGCACTTGGGGACATGGTTGAGTCTAGTCTACGCTTGATTGGTTTAGTGTGGACTTGGTAGTGTAGGTTAATGGTTGGACTGGATGATCTTAAAGGTCTTTTCCAACCTAAATGATTCTATGATTCTATGATTCTATGCTCTGAGCTTGTCAGTTTTTTTCTGGCTTCTGAAAAAACCCAATTTGCAGAAGCCTTGGCATTCTCAGCTACTGTGCAAAGCTGCACCCTGCTCACCTGCAGTTCTGCATGAGAAGTACATTGAAAAAGTGGCATCTGCTGCCCTCAGAGCAGGTGCTGGGAAAGGTCCCCTGGCTCATAAGCAAGCTGTGGTCAGGCCACCCACGGGCACGCAGTGAGCCCCACGTAAAGCCTCAGGGGAAATAAATGCTCATGCCGGCAGAGCAGGACCTGAGCGGTGTGTGGGCAGCGAAGGATGGAGTGCAGCACAAAAAGCTTCTTGCCGCTGCCATGGGCTGATGCTCCCCAGCCCTTTAGGTAATCACCTGACCTTAGGTTGCTCTCTCTTCCCGTGTCCTCAGATAGACCTGGGGATTTGTCTAAGATAAAAGGAAAAGAGTAACGCGTGAGCACAAGCTAACGCATACCCATAGGGAGGCCAAACTGTGATTGCCCGGGTGACCTTAGCGGAACTACTTGATAATTGTTGGAGCTTAGCTGACAATTAATTGGAGCCAATTCACAATTAAACATTTAACTTTGTACCTTTGGTCTCCCTTTCATTTTTTATTCTTTTGCCTATGCCTACATAAATAGGGATTTCTTTCCTACTGGAGTTTGAGTGTTGACATGCTTGTAACAGCCAGCTTCCGCTTGTGCAAGCCCCGGGGAAGCTCAACGGGTCTGCAGGTGTTTCCTAGCCTGGCTGCTGGCTTTGCACCCCTACTACTCAACTCCATGCTCTTATCCCAACAAAATCTCTCTCTTGCTCTTCTCAACACTGGGTAAATCTCAGCAGCGCTTACAAATAGGTTGCTGGGGTTTTGCTCTGGTTGCACAAGAGCTGTAATTTGCCAATAGCGAGCAGCAAATTAGGGACTGGTAAGTGCAAGCACATTGACTGCAGGACAGGGATTTTTTTGTTGGCACAGGTGTAAAAAAACCCGCTTGACACCTGCCTGCCTCGCAGCTTCCGTCCAGCCGTCCCTGGGCACTGCCATTTCTACAACTACAAACAAAATGGTAATGCTGCGCTTTTCTGCAACAGGTTTCTCAAAACCAAGGAGTCAAAGGTATTAGCTTTTCTGCTCCTGAAAATGACAATGGGATGCCATCGCCGGGCAGCAGGAGCCCCTGCTGCTGCACACAGCATAAGCTCTGGTAGAAGAGCGTGCCTGGCTGGGCACTGCTCTGCCACCCGCTCATTAAAGGTGCTGCTCCCTGCAGGGGAACTCCAGCAGTGGGTGAAACGGGAATAAAGATCACGAGATGGCCAGCATGTACACACAGAACAAGGTTTTCTTTTTTTTTTTTTTAATTGTGGTTTGTTGGTGTATTTTGTACCAAAAAAATTACCTAAGCCCCATGGTTGGCTATCAGAGGAAGAAAGGGAACTTCCAGCTCCCTGGGACAAGAAATTGCACGCTTCCAGTCTGCTGCTTATGGGGAAGAAGAAACAACTCTCTAGGCATATTATCCCCTGCTAAGATGGTTTGGTGCAGGTTATGTTCTCATCCCTGCTGCAAGCAGCAGAAGTCATTACAGAGGTGTGAAAACAGCAGCTACACACTCCCCCCTCCCCCCATGGCCAGTGCTGGAAAGGTGCCTGCGTCTGATGAAGTTTCAGTGATCACAACTGATTCAAGGGAAACGAGAGCTGGGGGAGGGGGATACAATAGCCTTTCTGGTTTCCTTATCGTATATATGCTACTCCTGTCCATAATCATCCCTTTGCATTAAAAATTGACCCAGGAAGGAGGAGCATCTAAAGCTTTAGCAGAGATCTTGTCTACTAGTTGATGAGGCTTAAGCAGGTAACCCACACCAATGACATGAACTCCACTGATTTGCTCAATCTCCATTTTTTGATCACCTCAGTTTTTTGATGTGGCAGAACATCATCAGTTCTCCAGCCAACACAGAGCAGTGGGCAAGACCTGACTACCTAGTGTTTAAAAAAGTGAAACCGTAGAGATTTCTTTTGTATAAATATTCTGGTCTTTATTGCTTAATGTTTTTATGTATATATATATATCTCCTTAAGCTTTTTTCCTGCCCCTGCTCGCATTACTCCTCACGAGGTACCTGCTGCTGCCCCAGCAGCTGGCCAAGGGTAGCATGAGGCTGATGAGTGGCGCCTTTTCCTCCAAAGGACCAACGCCATTCTCTCCCCCTTGGGTGCTAAGGCACACTGCTGGGACAGGCGAGCACCAGCTGCCCAGGGAATATCTCTTCCCAGCACTGAAAGAATTACTGAGGGCTCTCCATGACGCAACCCCCCGAGCAAGGCAGGCAGCCTCATGCACGGCAGAAAAAGAGAAGGAATGATGGCCTTTTGCAAGAAATTCATCTTTATTGAAGCAACCATGAGTCACATGAGCTGCCAGCTGGCCTGGGGAATAACAATAGCAGTGGCCTGGACAATAGCAGCTGGAGCTCACAAGGGAGATTGTCTCTCTCCGGAGAGCGATATACTTAGTCACTGTTTTATATATAAGTGAATCTTTTCTCACTGCTATAAAGTGGATACGTTGGCAAGTGCACATCACCACTAAATCCCTGCTAGACCAAGGCATCTTGGTGACTGCAAGGAGGTAGCTTGAGTAATACTGTGGAGCAGTTTAAGCTTGATCCGGCTTCCAGTGAAGTCAATGGTGAAGCTCCGCTGGTTCCATGGGAGTGGGATGAGGAGCGATAGCCCTTTCCCCTGCCCCCAGTGCAATTCTTTCTGATGCAAGATATTTGCAGCCATGTTAAAATGCTAACCAGGTGCTGTAGGCTGTACTGCTGTTCTTGTACACATAGCAGCCCCTGCCAGGACCTGTCCTGAACATCAGCATGGGGGTTTCCACATTTATCTCAATAAACAATTGCTACTTACTGTTTTCATGGCTAAAAGCCATAACAAAGGAGAGGGGTGAAAGCTGTTGTTGGTTCAACAGATGTTTCACATAGCCATATAGTTTACAGCAGGTTTTCCAGCAGGTGCTAAATCTATTGCAACAATAGGTTTCAGCTCAGAAGCAGCTCTGCCTCCTTGCAGTGAGGGCGAAGCACCCCTGGGAGCTATCATTTGAGCCAGACTGAGAGCGGAGTTCTTCAGTTGATTGAAGCTTTTTAAATTTCTGTTTATTATTGATAAAGTGATGCAAAGAGGACATGGAGTTGGACATTGTATTGTTTGACCTGGCTGAAGATCAGTCCTGTTCTCTTCTAGTTTTAAAATTCAGTCCTGCGTGTATGTGTAATATCAAAGTCCTTTTGTATTGCACAACAGCATGGTGGGTTAGTGACACTAGGTAAACACAGAGCTAAGGCTGGAAGTTGAACAAGCCTCTGTGAAATCAATGTGGCATCAAGCTCTAGCAGGTTGACTAAGTCGTAAGAATTAAAAAATAATGGTGTACTGCATTAGCAAGGAGGAATAACAGAGGGATATGTCCTTATGCTGGTCATTTCTTTCAAAGCTCATGCACTGCTTTCTGATATTTTTCCTGATCTGTACTAAAAGCTCCGTAAATCCAGCAATATTTGAAAACAGGGGAAAAACAGTCGATGGTCTTCGGATGCCTACATACTCGAGCATGATCAGAAATGTGCCCAAAGTCAATCACTATGAGTGTCCGGGCTAGGAGAGCACATCTCCCATCAGCAATGACGCACTTTGTGTCCATGTATTTACTGAGCACAGGATCGGTCCTGGGCTCTGTTCCAAAGCCATCTTCCTAGAAACATTGCATCTTTGGGGGTCACAGGGAACTGCTCAGATGACAGCGCAAGAGAAGTTTGGTTTAATGCTGTGATTTTTGCTGGGCTTTTCTCTCCATTTTTGTCCTAAGCGGGCTGTTTGTGTGCTGCTTGTGGAGCTACAGCCCGTACATCCCCCGGCGAGGCGATCTGCATCTCCGAGCCCAGGTGCGTGTCTCAGTCCTCGTCCGTTTTCGGCGAAGGTTTGGGACTGCTCCTCCTCAGACCATCTTCCGCTCTGACCAGCTCGGAAATGCACGACAGCTAGTAGTGCAGGAAGGGGAAACACGTGACACATGTCCCACCGCCTGACCCCACACAACGCCTTCCCAGGGGATTTTATGGGTGACTTCAGACATCTTCCTGCGCCAAGAGCTGGCTCTACCTGGTAGGGATGCGTGGGTGGCAGGTTTCTACCTCTCTCGCAGGATGTATTTGCCTTTCCGGTCCAGGTTGCTGCTGAAGTGGATGGAGAACCAGAGGAATGAAGTCAGGATCATCCCATAAACCTAAAAGGAAATAAATGAGATGGGCACACAATTAAATGCCAAACTGATTATGATGTTCCATCTGTGCAAATAAGTGATCATAAATGTTGCCTGTTAGTCCACTTGGCACTTCTGAATTTACGTATCAGGATGTCACATTTTTCTTAAGAGACCTGTTTTCCAGTAAAATGGTGAATACCGATTCCAATGTGGGAGAAAAAAAAACCCCACCATGTGGTTAAAGCATCTGATTGGAATTAGCACAGTATGGCTCAAATCCAGTCCTAAAAATAACGAGAAATGAGACGAAACCAGGAAATTCAGATTTCAAATTCCTGCCACAAAACATTCCCCTATGGAAACAAACATATCTCTTTCATAAGAAGAGCCTTTTGTAAAGATAACATAGGGAGAAAAAAACCAAACCTCATGTATTGTTTGGAGTATAATACCCAACAGAACAAAAAACCCTCTAATAAAACCCAAACCACACCTCATGCATGTGCATGTTTGTAAATGCAGAGGACAGTATATTTCCTCCGTATTGTGATATTCTGCCTGGTATATCACACATCACGATTTACACAGGCAACATATCAAAAATAAGGCTGCTGTGGGAAGGATAACAAGGGCTGTAACAACATGCTCTTTCCTAAAAGTCTGCCTTAATGTGCAAGCGCCTTCACTTGCAGCTTGATCTGGGGACACATGCGCTTTGTTGGCCAAGGCACAGTAACATCAGAGCAGCTATAGCCCTCGTCGCATGCTTCCTTTGCGTCCTGCCATCACAATAGTGAACTGTGCAGCGAGATTTCCTCCAGCACACACTTCAAAGACAGACGCCTTATCTGACTATAGCATCAAGCTGTGAAAAAAAGATATATACAATAAAAACACTCCTGCTTTTGTCTGAATATAGCTGCAGTGAAATTCCTCCTATACCTGAGAAAAATTAGAAAGCGACACCAGATATTCACACATGACTTTACATTTATAGCTCCACAGCAATGCTTGATGGTTTTCCTAATTTACTACTAGCAGTATAAGATACAAAAGTGTTTGTTCCTCTGGACTTCATTTAGATGGAGAAGAGTCTTCTAACCCATAATTGTGCCAAGGGGGACACAAGTAGTAAAACAATTTCTAAATACATATTCAGTGAGGAAAGGTCGCCCTAGCGGGGGAGCAGCATGGAGATATCACAGCAGATCAAATCTCCCTTCTTGGTGAAGAAATGAGTCTCCTGGTGTGTCTCCTATTCTTTTCTGGCGTGCTTCACCACACATGCAGGGCCCTCGTGTAGAGGTAATTACAGTGATACACCTCTGCCAAGCAGTGGGTGGGCATATGAGCAGGCTTGTTTTAATTACTGGTACTCTCCAGCTATGAAGGGACTGTCCCCATGCAGCCACTGAGCCCCCTCACCGCTGAAGGACATAATCCTCTCACAGCATTTCATTTTTTCTTTTGTCCTCCCCCAAAATAAGACTCACAAATTCAGTACAGACCCTTTCTATGCAAGCCATCCCCTGAAGATGATCCTACCCCTCTTCTGCAAGATCTTCCTTCGAAGATGGCACCTGGGAGCCCAGGCAACACGCTCTGCTCCTCTCCTTTGCAGCCTGCTCCTTGTGAGCCTGTGCGTCACCCACCCACTGCCTGAGATGCACCTTACTGGGTTCATTAGTGGTCATTAATAGGATGAGACCTTCACTTTCTGCACAGCTTCCCAGCTCCACTGCTGGTGCTCAGGAGTTTTCAAGACCTTCCAGCTCTGGCCGCACCAAGTGATGAGGATGAGCTCCCAGGATGAGCTGGGAGGCAGCCAGCAAGTGCTGGGCAAGGAGAGGCAGCATGTTTCCTAAAATATGGAATGGAGCTTTTACCCCATCTCCTTTTCCACAACTGCTGCCGGCTTCCTACCTGATCCGCAAGCCCTGCACCAGGTGACACGGCCTCTCACTTGCAGAAGATGTGCAGGCAAGCCTGGGTGCTTGAAATGCAAATGCTGCTGCAGCCCGTTCCTGCTGCTCCTTGCTCCCAGCTGCTGTGCATAGTTTGGGCAGAAAAACCATGCAGTGAGCCTATTCCTGTAGGAAAACTCCTCCATCCATCAGCCTGGCCAAGACAGGTCCTGGCCCTTTCCTAATTTCCACAGCGGAGTCCACCACTGCTTGTTTCTCTGCTGCCCATCTCCAAAATCACCCAAAATCTTAGCTTCTGGGGGCTAACTTAGGATACGCTTTCCCTGCTGGAGCCTGCCTCTGAGGGCCAAAATGTGAAGGAACAGGCACAGCTACCGTGAAGCCAATGGTGATGCCCAGGAGCGTGAAGACAAAGTCCATGTGCTTCTTCAGGAAGTCCTGGATCTCTCGCAGGCAGTCCTGGGAGGAGAGAGACACCCCTTGCAGCACAGCAGCAGCTCAGTGGGGGGCTTTGTCTCCCCAAAAGCACTTGCCACAACCGCAGGTAGAAAGGGAGGCAAGAGAGGGATGCAGCACCGCACACCTGGGCTGCTCCGTGGGCAGCTCTCCTTTTTCCTGCTGCTTGCTGCAACTTGGGAAGACAAACACATGCAGTATATTTTCTATTACTACAATACGCCTATGATTTTCTTGGTATGATGTGTTTCAGACTCTGGGGGATATGTATGCACACAGGTAAGTGTGGTCATGCACCAGCTTTTTTTCTTTTCACCCACTGGAAAATGGAAAGAGGGAAATGAAAAGATGGAAAAGCAGAGCACACCATAATGCTAAATATGTTCCCCAAAGATACTAATGAACAGCTCAATTTTGCAAAGTGTTGCAAGCATTAATATACATCAGCCTTAAGCATGCCAGCGGCTCCGCGGAAATCCAGGATGTGTTAGCCAAGAGAGCCATTTCAAAAATGCAAGAGCATGCCCTTGATGAAGTGATTTGCAGAGTGAGGTAAGAGTGCTCAAAGCCAGAGAGTGAATGTACTGCGGCTACCAAACTGCAGTTCCCTGGGTTGCAAAAGGCACCCTCCCACCCACCTCCTGCGGCTCGCCACTGGAGGAAATGCAAACCATTAGTGGGGCGGGGGAGACAGAGTCACCCCTACAGTACCAGGTTTTGCTCTGCTCTCACTTCCTGCCCTGTGAGCTGAGTTTGACCCTGCTTCGAGATGCAATGTTCCCGGAGGCAGCACTTTGAAACGCTGCCCTGCAGGCTGACACGTGCCTGTGCATCACGGCATCCTGTTAGCGCTTGACATCTTTGCCTAACAACAATGTTTTTGAATAGCTGTAGCAACATGGTTTGGTTTTTCCTAGGGACAACACACATATTGATGCTGGCAGCTTTAGCTCCTTCAGCTGATTTGGCTACTCCAGTGGAAGAAAAATAATCATACAATAGATTTGCTCAGAGAGTATGAAGTCTGTGTTGCAGCTTCAGCACAGAGGCAGTTGAATACTGGTAGCTTCTCCATCAGCCTCGCTGAGATACTGCAAAGAGGAGGAATGAAGTGTATTTGATGAACCTACTGCTGGGCATCATCATCCTGCTTCATGAGTTTCTCATTTTAATACCTATTTAATGCCATGGGAAAAAGGAATTACAGCAAAACCTACATTTGCTGTTAGTGGGACACTTTTTAAGCCCCAGAAACTAGTGTCACATGGAAAAGTCCAACACTATTTTTTGAGTTCAGACACATGCCCGTGACATCTCATACTCTCTGCAGAGGCAGGAGATGAGGAGGAGGCTGGAGGGAGGCGACAGGCTGCAAACACAAGCGTTTCAAAGGCTTTCTAGAGCTGCAGAGGAAACTGCATCTGCAGGTCTGAGACCTGCTGATCCACTGGAGCTCCTCCACCAGGTGAGACACCTTCTTATTGAAACAACAAAACCACAACAAAACAAACCCCATAGCAACCCCAAACCATGAAAAAGCCACAATTCTCATTAACACTTAAACACCAGTGAGGTTTTAACAGTTAGCAAGTAGTAGCACAACCCCACTGTGGGGTGGAAGAAACCTTTCCCTTACCTGTCCCGCATCGCGCACCTGGCTGGATGGGCACGTCTTGAGCTCCACATTGGCTGTGTCCCCAAATGGAGAGTGCTTCCCACAGCACAGGAACTGGAAGAGAGGGAGAGGTCTGCCAGCCGCCCGCCGGGGCTCTCCCCTCGCCACCAGCTGCTGCCATGGAAGGTGTTGGCGATGGGCCACCCTTCCTCCGTGCTGCCCCAAGCAGGGCTATGCAACCAGGGCTGCAAGCAGCAAAGCACTTAGGTGTGCAATCAACAGCTGTGGCAATGGAGGTTAAATTCAGAGGAAGCAGATGGATCTGGCCCCAAACTTGCCTGGATCTGGCCCCAAACTTGCCTGTGCTCCTCCAGGACTGCTGCCTGGGGCTGGGGCCAAGCCCCTCCCTCCATGGTCACACCAGCTCTCACAGTGGCTGCTCTGCAAAACCCAGGGATGCACAGACTGATGTTTCCAGTGCTTGTTATGGGCTGGGGGGTGTCCCCAGCAACACCCACTGTGGAGCTGGTTTCCTATAGCCAGGGGGAACTGGCCAGCTTGGAGCTTTAGCAGAAGGAAAAAAACCTCAAAACAACAATAAAAAAATGCAAACAAGGAGTAGAAGGACTGTTTCTCCAACAATTAAAGTGGCTAAAATAAGCAACTGATGAAGCTGGGTATTGTGCCTGGCTCTCCTTGCCAAGGGGGACTCTGGATGTGCTGCTCCACAACCCTGCAGAGCAAGCTTATGGCTCTGAGGGCCACCACCATTGCTGCAATGAGAAACATTTGGCCTTTTCTGCGTTTTGAGAAACACGGATGAAAGCAGCTTTGGAAACTACTTGTTAAGACGATTTAAGAAAACACAGAAGGATAAAGAGAGTTGCATGGGAGGTGTCTGGAAACAGGCAAGTGGAGATGATCTTCCCGTCCAGCCCTGCTGCGTGCAATGAACTCACTACCCAAACAGGTCCTGCTGCGTGAGGAGACAGCTTCTCCTTTACTCAGTGGGGACTTGGGAGTTTCTCACCACGGGGGATATCTTCGCTCATCTCCTGTGGCTCTGAGGGCAAGCGTCCTCCCTGTGCTCTGAGCAACCCATCCTTGCTCACCTACTGAGCTACAGAGAAATTCCGTGTGCCAATAGAATCCTGGGTGGTGGTTTTGGGGAGTTGCTAGCAGCCTCCAGCATTGCAAGAGGCCACGTGGCCTCCAGTACTCCTCAGCCATAGGCTCAAGGCTGAACAGAAATAACCAAGTCCAAATACTTCTGCTGGACAATGTGGAATTCCCCCGCCTCTCTATCTGACCGGGGACACCGGAGAGGTGTATATCCACTTTCTCATACCACAGATAGGGAGCACAGCAGAGGGCCTGCTGAGACAGACAATATACATATCAGCTACAGCGTGGAAGCTTTGAAGATCTCACACCAGAGCGATGCTCAGGTTGGTGGCCCTTTCCTCCTGTTGATAATCTGGTTGGTCAAACCTGAGAAAGGAAGAGTAGGAAGGGAGGAGCAGACCTCACAGCAGGCTGGAAGACTCAGTTCCTGAGGGAAAACAGCACTGCAGCATCCACGAGGCAGAGCACAGACATCAGCCCCAGCTTGCTGAAACCATTGGGAAGACACCCCAGGGAAAGATTTTCTGCTAAGGCTGAAAGACAACTTACTGCTTCATGGATGGCAGTCAGCTCATGCCTCCTGAAGCTGGAAGCGTTCCTCCTCACCTCTTCGTACACAAGGTCGTACACATCCATCATGCTGTCTTCCACCTGCGATGAAAGCAGAGATCTGTACATGGAAAATACCGACTGTGGTCATCTCTGGAGGGAAATGTGCTCCTCTTGCATCCCCCTAGAAGGTTTCCCAGGTACAGTGAGACAAGTAGTGCAGCTATTAAATGACCACCATGCAGCAGCAGGAGGTGGTGTGCTACCCGCCGTGCACCATGAGGCACCTACAGCATGGCAAGTCCCATGAGAGAGGCTGCGATGCTACATGTGGACCCTTTGGCATCACACCAGGGGCTCACCAGATGATGACTGGAGCTTTTGTTGTGGCTTTAGTGTCACAGAACAACGCTGGTGCCTGTGACCAGTGTGTCTCCAAGTCCTTCTGCCAGGCAGGGATGACACCGTCTCCCTGTCCTGATGGGTGACTGTAAGGACAGGCACACATGACCGTGAGATGTTAAAATAAAAAGGTGAGAGGACCTCAGATGGCTGGCATTATTCCAGTGATGGAGGAGTTCCTCCAAATAGAGCCAAAAAAATAACAGAGTGACTCAGTGGTGAATCAGACCCTAAATATTTACCAAATGTGTGAGAACTTGCAGCTTGACAGATCCCAGCCAACTCCTGCTTGGGTTTCAAAGGGAAAAAATATGACAATTGCCTTCAGCGTCTGGAGTCAAAACCTTATTTCTTCCTTTTGTTTTCCCTCACTTCCTCACCAGCACCGATCCAAGCGGGCCTGCAGGCAGTGCGTGGCTTTCAGGAGGGAAAAATCAATCGGCGAGACAGACGGAGTGGGTAGCCACGTGGGGAGGGACAGGCACTCCGGGAGCAGAGCCATCTCTCAGCAAGGCTTTTCAGTTCAGTCTTAAGGGGCTGTGCTTGGAAATTACTCTAGGGGAAAGAAACCCCAACACCGTGTGCTTGGGGGTGAAACCAGGGTCATTGGAGGCAATTACTGCCACCACTGCAATATTGCTTTAAACTGCCTGGCTGTCCAAAATGCAAACAACTAACAGAGGTTGATAACCAGGGAGGGGAGAAAGGGGGGTTGAGAAGATTACTTGTATCTGAGTCTGCTTCGTGCCACCAGAAATAGAGTTTAAAGGCTCACATTGGAAGATTTTCCACAGCTATTAACATGGCATAGAAGTGGATGGGCTTAGGGGTTTCTCTGCATTTATCTGCAGCAAAGCTGGTGTCCCTTCAGGACACTCCATCACCTGTCACAGAGCAATCAGTAGGTGAGGCAGGAGCAACCCAGCTTTAACAAGAAAGGTCAGATGATGGACGGGGCACAGATATTTTGAGCCAAGGAAAAAATCCTCCATAGCAAGGTGTATGATGCTGAGCTGTCCCACACAGGTGAGGAGGGAAGATGCTCATTTTGTCATCCCCATGTATCAGAGTGCATCGAGTGGGATGGGCGCAGCAGTAAGACAAGATCTCTAGCAGACTTGTGCACCATCCTTCCCCTGAGCAAACCTTAAGCCCCAATAAAAAGGAAAACATCCAAGCTTTTCTAACTTCTTGTGGCCCATGAAATAGCTTTCCAGCAGCAGCAATTAAATAAATGGATTCAATAAAAAAGAGCGTCCATTTCCACTGAAGAATTGCATTAGAATAATGAAAAAAGAATAATCTTTTGACCTCCTCTTGTGGCCTCGTGTTGCTGAGGAAGGAAAGAAGAACAGAGCAGACTGCTTCTTAACACAATAGATTATTACCTTTTGAATATCCCAACCCCAGTCTAAGATGCAGGAATAAAAACTATTTTGTGTTGTGACAATGTACATATGGATCTCAGTAAGGTAATGGTGCTGCATGTGCAATTTTTGCCTTTTCATATTTATCATTAGGCTCAGGATGCTGAGCTTCCCTCCAAAAGGCCTAAATTTCAATGACTTAAAAAAAAAGGAAAAGGTGGGGGGGAAGAGTTTCAAGCAAGTTGTTAGGTTCAAGCAAGGATTCAAGAGTTGAAAGAAATCCAGAAGTTTAACAGTAAAGGTCTACTGAACACCGGGCCAGGAAATGCTGAGACAGGTAGTTTTAAGCCCTCTGCCTTGCCTGGGCACATTCCGCAAAACCTCACAAAAACTGGCAAAAGTGCTCCTTTGACTGCAGTGAGTTTTGGCCTGGATCTGGCTGCTTACTTTACAACTGTATTCAACTTAAACCAAGGTGAGATGAGACTTTGTCCGGTGACGTTTCACCTGCAAAGACCATCACAGGCTCCCTAGCAGTAGAGCAGGCTCTGACCGTGCCACCAGAACCAATTCACTGTGCAGGAAAGTCAATGCTCATTAGTGTTTTGTCCTGATAATAAGCCTCAGGGCCCAACTGAGGTTGATGTCCTCCTCAGCAGCTTCTCAGGTGGTCGTGCTGCACTAAGCAACCTGGGAGGAGGGCAGATGAGCTGTCCAGATGTTGGCAGCTGCTGGCTGCTGCCCGTAGCCTGCAGCAGCAGCAGCCAGACTGGCAAGCTCCTGCTGGCTGCATGAAACCATGAGAGGATCGATTTGACTAGGAGAGGTCCTGCCTGATGTAGCGGTGCACATTTGCACCTTCATTATTTTAGGTACCATACAATGACATTAAACATTGAGACTAAGGCTGTTTGAAGAAAAAGGGTGGCTAGGAAAGAATTGAAGGAACAAGATTGCCATAACAAAGCTATGGCAGGAAGTTATTCCAACTGTTGGAAACAATAAGGGAAGAAACCACGAGCAGTCACCATTTCACAGCCAGCTCAACTGCAGTGATGGTGATGATGATGAGGGTAATCTCCTGGTACATAATGACTACTAAATACTTCAATTGCACCCTGTTCCAGAGCTTTCTTGTGAGCTGGCTTCTCAGTTATTTACTGATTTCTTCCATTTTGTCAAGCAGCCTTCAAGAACTGAAAGCACAGAGTGTAAAATTAAGTGTAAAATGTTTTATAGGAATAATTTCCTTTTAGAATGCGTGTCTGGGCAAGCCTAAGAGTACAATTTACTGGTAAGTCTTTCTCAGCATTTCTACCTAGCAATTATATCAAAAGCATTTATAACCCAGCTATTATCTGAATACTCCATTCAGATCCTGGTAAGGGAGTATCAAACTACAAAACCATTTTTTAAAGAGTGAATTGACTGTAGTTCCTCCACATCATGTTTCTGACTTTTTCTAGGATCATTTGATTTTGGAGGGGAAAAGTGCTGTCTTCATGCAATGTGGCGGTCTGTTTTCAAAGATTACTGCAGAGAGCTTTCTCATTTAAACATTTCAGAGGTAGGTGTAAAGTATTAAATCTCAGTATTTATGACTGGCTGTTTCCTTCTGTGCAGGAGATCGTGCCACAGAGCATATGAGAGGTCTGGTTTAACAAGGAGACATACAAGAGCAAAAAAGATCGCACTAACGAACCATCGTCTTAGCAACTTTTCTGCCTGGGATGGGCTTATGTTTATACTCAGTAGCTGCAGCCGAGCTCTGAAGCACCAGTCATGCATGGCAGTGTCTATCCAGCCCAAAATGGCATGCAAACTCATGCATGCCTAATGAAGTAAAAAATAAAACCTGAAAGCATGAGACAAAGTAACCAGATGGTTTCATGACCTCTTTATTTGCAAGTTCATCCCCATATTTTCCTTTGATCTGGGACATAACACAGTGAAGAGCTAGACTGCAGCACTGCTTTGTGCCATCCTCAACAGATTCCCATTGCACGCTCCACTGATGGGCAACTTTCAGTCCATTGCCTCAGAATAATTTTCTTTTTCCATTTCTTACACCAGGTGTTGGAGAAAAAAAATATTAAAAATAACCAGGGTGCTTTCTCTCACAGTTAAGCAATAGGATGCGTTTTGAGTTTGAGTGGTTATGCCAACAGTGTTAATAACATGCTTTCAGAATACCACAGCTGTGCTCCATCCCTTAACTCAGACAGTGATTAGCACATAATGGACCAATACAGCTGGAGGAGAGAAAGTCTGTCTGGGCTTCTTTTTCAAAGGTCTTACACTCCCCCCACACATTAGCATCATTACCGTCAAGTGGATTTTCCTGTTCTAGTGACATGCTGTGACCCACTGCTGGAGGAGTATTTCTGGATGAAGCTCTTCCTTAGAAGGAGACTGCGCCTGTGATCCTTGTCAGTAAAAACCACTGAGAGCTGAAGATGAAGCATCAGCTGGGTTTTGGCTTAAGAAAAATCTCCAGGTTAAGTGATATGGAGGTCACACCTTACAGTCATTCTTTTCCTGGAAGACGCTGGGTGAAATGTTCCAGCTCTAAATTAGTCAAATAATTGCTGCCTCCCTTTTCTGTCTGCATTCCTTAATGAAACATTCATTTAGGGATGATATTGATGGGTTGCTGGATACAACAAATGGAAAATCACCACTGAGATTGATGTGGCTGACTCCAGCTGACTCAGTAAAGTAGCATTTTTCACTTAAAAGAAAGAAGGACTTTTGAGATTGTTTATCATCCTCTAAATCCTTTATCCCCCAAGAAGCAGAATTTATGACTGCGGGAAGGCATTTACTCTAAGCCATTAATGGTTTTACCCTTGGCTATTAGAAACCAAAGCAAATTTCAGTCTTACCTCCTTCAAGAGGAAAATTGACATTTCTTACTTGGGTTATTTATCAAGGATAATTTTTACCTGTAACTGGATTTGAAACAGAAAGATCAGATGAGGAGGTCAGCCTTCAGTCCCTGATCCCTTTGCAAGCCAGACGTGTCAATGAATCCCCCTCCCACTGCCAGTGAATACCTGTGCCTAGACAACCTGAGCTAGTTGCTTCAATGTATGTTGGAAAACTAACGTAGACTTGTACCAAGAAGAACAGTCTGAGACCTACTCAGTGAGCCATCTTTGCAACAGTTGTTGGCCAACTGAAGAGCTGGAGCTCACGGAGAACATAGTGAAAGGAGATGTCAGGATTGTCTCAAAGACAAGCCCACCTCTCTCCTTTCTGCTTAACAGGAATGCTCTTGATATGGCAGAGGAGGAATCCAAGCATGGCAAGCAGAAGAAGAGTCCTCCTGTC